CCACTGGAGGTCAGCTCCTGATGGCTGCACACCCCAGTGGGTTTCCTGGCTGGAATAAGGTGCAGCAAGGTACCAAAACACCCACCTGAGCTGCAGAAAAGGGTTCCACGTCCCGTGGCAGGCCCAGGCTGATGCCCCACAGCAGGTCCTCGCTCCTCCCAGGCAGCTGTGAATCCATGTGAGCCTGTTATTGTCCTGGATTATTTGTTCATTTTTTTTATTGGATTATTTTGATTTGATGAAATAAAAAAGGTAAACCCTTTTCCCCGGCGCGGTGCGAAGGACACGGTGCTGCAGCAGGAGGGCAGGAGGCAGATGGGAAGAGCTGGTTTATTTGGTGTTATTGCCACAGTTTCCACAGCCCAGCACTGCCAAGGCTTTGGGTGTAGCCAGAGCCTGCCACGGGAGATGGATTGTTCAGGGCTGGCTGCCCCTGGAGCTGCAGCTCCGTGGGTTTGCTCGGCATGTTGGGCTCAGCCCCCACGATGGCTCTGAGCTGCCTGAGGCTTCCTGAGGCTCCTCTCCCACACTGCTGGGGCTCAGCTTTGCCTGCAGAGCCACTCAGCCACTTCAGCGTCGATGGAAGGCTGTGAAAACACGACGGCACAATCTCTGCTGAGCTCAGGCCCAGAAGCAGAGCCAAGAGTCTCCCTGGCTCTGGATAAAACTTTGCTGTGGTTACAGGCGGCCTGGGATCATGTGATGGCAGCTGATCTCTCCAGCCTCCAGCATTCCTGCTTCAGGCCTCTCCTGCTGCACAAAAACACGTCGAGAGTTCCAAACAGCATCTCTTTGCTCGGGTAATTGTTTATTGACAGCAGAATTATCAGCCAAGTGTTGTTGAGGAAACTCCTCTGCTTGTGTTTCCCAGCCAGCCAGGCCTTTTCCCAGCCCTCTTCCCAGCCTGCCAGCCCTGCCACAAACCTTGAGCATCCTCAGTTAAAGGGATTTCCAGACAGACACAGCTTCTCCCTCCAGCCCCAGGGCACACTCTGGCCTGCTCAGCACAACCGATTCCTCAAGGTTGGGTTCTCATCCCAGGGAATTAAGGGGGGAATCAGGTCTAAACTGGATCTGAGCCCCTTGGAGATGCGCTGACAGAGAAATGTGTGCCTTGAAAGGACTTGAAAAGGAGCTCTAGGGAGGGAGGAGGGCAGGAATGTGTCAGTCGGTGCCTCTCTGAAATCTCTCCCCTGGATTTTCTGGGACCTCCTTCCTGCAGGACGAGGCAGGGTAAGGACAGAGCCAGCCCTGCCACAGGGTCGGTCCTCCAGAGAGATGAAAGGGAAGTGGTTTGGTGGCCAAATGAAAGTCGTGGCTTTAAAGAAGAATTGAAGCCAGATGTTTCCACCCGCCCGCTGAGCCCTTTTGTGATGGAGCCACCGAGGAGGCCCTGGCAGAGCCCCGTGGTGGGAACACCCTGTAATCCCAAAGGCTCCTCCGTGCTGCCGGAGGCTCCCTGGCTGTCTGGGAGGAGGGAGCCAGAGCTGGGGCACAGACAGTGCTGCCAGCTCAGTATTTATTCCCTGTCTCGGAATATTTGCTCCTCGCTGATAGCAGGGCTGTGGTGACCAAATTTAGCACCTTTGGACAAGACACCGGGGCCAAGAGGCGGTGGAGCCGTGTTTGGCATCGGCTCTGCAGGCACAGGGCATGGATGGAGCAGAGGTGAAACACCAGGAAAAGGGAAAATGCCTCCTCGTTTCAGCACACCCGGGGAGGGAGCAGCGCTTCCCACTGCGAGGAAGCGCCCAGACCTCGGGGCTGGCGGGCAGGAGGTCCCAGCTCACACCCAGGAGTCATCAATCTCTGCCAGCACGGCCGCCCCGGGCTGCTGACAGTTCCTGCTGCTCCTGCACCCTCTGCCTCATGGTTACAACATTCACTCCTGGCCTCCTCCAGCCGAGTTCCCGGTGCCCTCGGCGCTACCCCGAGGTGGAGTTTCCTCTCGTGAAGTCAGCGGGTGCCAAAAACGTCCTGTGCTGGTGGCTCCGAGGGCTGGGAAAGGCTCTGCTCGCTGTTCAGGTGGCCCTGTCACAGTCCTTGTCTTTCTCCTGCCCCACCCCACGTGCTGGGATGTTCCTGGGATGCTCCTGGTCCAGAGGAGCGGGGGAGATGTCCCCTGAATCCAGCTGGATCACTGTCTCCTCCTGGGGAATGAGGGATGAGTCCAGCAGTTGCACCCTAAGCAAGGGAAAGTCAACAGGGCGAGCAGAGGGAGGCTGGGGACAGGAAATCCCAGTTTTTACTGGCACCAGCTCACATCAGATAATTCGACCTTTAACAGGGAATAAATCCCTCTGCAGTCTCCTTTCAGGGAGCTGGGTGAGGGCCTGCTGTAGGAAAGGAGCTTCCTGCCGTGCCCTCTCCCCCTGGGACTCTCATTCCGGTGTGTCCATCGGTTCTCCGGAGCACTTTGAGCAGGAGGAGCTCTTGCTCCTGCCGGGATTCCAAACCCGCCCCTCCCCAGCTGAGCGTTCCAATGGAAGGGGCAGAACCAAGGGCTGGGAAAGGCTCTAATCCGAGCATTAGTGATAATTTACCTCCCAGCAAAGCCTGGGGTCGGGAGTGCTGGGCTCCTGCAGGGTATCAGGTGCTCGGCAGGTCTGAAACTGGGGCTCAGAACCGTTCCGTGCCGCGACTCCTCCGTCCCTTCAGGGGCTCTGCTTGAGAACACTGGAAATTAAGGAGCAGCTTTGGAGCTCGGGATATCTCTGGGCCAGGGGGATGCTGACCTGCCCCTGCCTCCCGGGGGGTGTGAGGATTAACGAGCTAATGGTTGCAAAGGGCTTTGGAGATGACAAGTGCTCAGCTGGATGGGCTCTGCTGGGGGAAGGGGGTGAGGAGGAGGAAGAGGTTCTCAGTTCCACGCTGGAACTACGAGGTCTCCCTAAATCAGAGACTCATGGAATATCCTGAGCTGGTTTGAGGCCGGGCAGCCCCTGGCAGAGAGAAGGTTCCAGAGCGGATTCTGCAGTCCCATTTATCCTGCTCCAGGTTATTTATTTGATTTCTACTCCTCCAATTTCCTTTTCTTTCACTCCTCCGTGTCCCGGAGCTGCTGCCTGTGGAACACCACAGAACCTGCCAGCTGGGCTGCGTTTCCCAGGCAGCTTGTGCTGCCTGTCTAATCTCCTCAATGGACCCTGATTATTCCCTGGCTCTGACTTATCCACCTGGATCTGCCCGGGCCTAATTGCAGGTGATGGTGTCGGTGGGGTCACTTCCAGAGCAGCGATCCCGGGGATCCCAGGGCTGGAAACTCCATCCTCCACCCACACCAGAATGGTTTGTTACAGAACAGCTTCTCCATCACCCAAAATAACAAGATTCCTCTCAGTGCTCTGTGACAAATTCTGTGGATCTTTCCCCCTGAGGCAAAGTTGTTTCAGGGTGTGTTTTCCTGCCAGGAATCCCCTCAGAGCACAGCCAGGGTGTAGGGCAGGATTAGGTGCTCGGGGCTTTCCGCGGGTGAGGTTTGGCCCTTGCTCAGCCCCGCGTGATGCCCGAGCTCAGGTGTGTCCAACCTGCAGTGGGAGCATGACCCGTGCAAGGCACAGGATGGATCCTTGGGGCTCCAGGGGGCTCAGCCAAGCCTTTCCCGCGAAGAACCAGGGCCTGGCTTCACCAGGACCCTTCCCATGGGTTCCTACCCCGTCTATACCGGGGCTGTCGGGAGGAAATCCCGATCCTGGGACATTCCCACCGGCGGGAGGGGAGCGGCTCGGGAAGGTGGGGGGTGTCACGGGCCACGTGCGCGGCGGGGTCTCTGCGGAGTCTGGTCTGGGGTGTGTCTGTGTATGAAAAATGGGAAAATAAAAGTACTTTGGGTCCCATAATTAAAAAAACACAAACCAACCAAATCACAACAAAACCCCCAAAAAAACCCCAAAACCCGACAATTCCGCCCCCCCCGCCACGCGCCTCCGGACCCGCCCATTTCCCCCCTGGCGCGGAGGGGGGGCCGCTTCCCGCGCGCGGCGCCGCAGCCGCCGCGCCCCCTGGCGGAGCGCGGCGGGAACCTCACCGCTCCCCCCCCCCGGCGGGCGGGGAATGGTTCGCGCCGGCCGTGCCCCGGACGCGCTCGCAGCGGGCGGAAGAGGCGGCGGGGCGGGCCGGGCCGGGCCGGGCGGCGCGGCCGGAGGCGGAGCCCGCGTGTCCCGCCGTGTCCCGATCGCCGCTCCGGCCAGCGCGGGGCGAGCAGCGCGGGGCCCGCCGGCCGCGGCGGCGCGATGCTGCTCTTCGTGGAGGTGAGGCGGAGGCGGCGGCGGCGCGGGGCCATGTGGCGCGGGAGGAGGAGGAGGAGGCGGCGGGGAGGCCGCGCACGCCGCGCCGGGGGAGGGGACGGGGCTGACACAGCAGATCCGGGCGCGGCGGGCTTGGGGGGGTGAGGGGGCGCTCTGGAAGGTTCCGGGAGCGCGGGAGGCGCCGCCGTGACCTTCGGGGGCCGCCGCGGCCCGGCCGTGAAGGTGACGCGGGACACGCGGGGCCTCCCCGGGGCCTCCCCGGCCCGGCCCTCCGCGGCGCGGGCGGCCCCGCCGCGCAGGGCCCGAGCGCGGCGCCTCGTTAATTGCGCTAATTAAACCCCCCGGGGGTGGTTGGCGGCGGGGGAAGGGGCGGCCGCGCCGCTGGCGGGGCCCGGTGGGACGCGGAGCGCGGCCCGGCCCGGCCCTGGAGGTCACCGGGGAGGGCGGGCGCGGTGTCCCCGGAGGCCCCGGGACGGGGCTGCGGCGCCTCGAGGCCTCTCACGGGCTCGGCGAGGCCGTTCCAGCCTTCGCCGGACGGCCGAGGCTTGGCCGCTGGAAACTTTGCACCGAGTTTTGTCCCGAAACGTGCGCGGAGCCGAGAGCTGCGGGCTCGGGGGGTGGGGATTGAGGGGACCGAGGGGGCCGGGGGAGCTGCGCTGGGTCTGTCGGGGGGTTCCAGCTCAGGGGGTCCCTGTTTGGGGGGGGTTCTGCCTGGGTGGGCTGCTCGGGGGTTCTCGGGGGTGGTGGTGCTGGTGGGCTCTTAACACGAAACACCGACACGTGCTCTGCGGTTCGGACCCTCTGCATAAAAAAGGCTCGGGAAACACCTCCCCTCTCTCTTAAGCGAAGGCACCGCGGAAGGATCGCCATCCTCAGCTCTGAGCTGGAAGTTCCGTGGCTTCACCCGAGAGGGATAAAAGTTGTCGTGAGGACGGTGACGGGTCTCGAGGATCTGGGTTTGCAGCGTTTGGCTGGAAGAGGAACTGCTCGGGCTGGGGGGAGCCACGAGCCCAGGCTGAGCGTGGTGAGAGGGCCCTGGAGCACACGAGGCAGGTTCTGGAAGGGAGCAGTGGAGCTGGAGCCCATCAGCCAGGGGAGCACATGGCTGGTGGTGATGTTGTGGCTGAGCTCAGAGGGAGCTGGAGCACATCCCCACCTCGGGGCGTCCCCCTGAAAGCACAAACTCCGCTTTGGTTGCTCTGTCTGATCTCCTTTCTCTGGTAGTGTTGGGAGTTTCAGTGAGCTTCGTTCTGGAGGCCTCAGTAATTTCAGTTTTGAGTTCATGGAGACCATCTGGGCTTTCTGAAGGTGCCTTTTCCCTGGCAGGACAGGGGCTGGAGCTCAGGGCTGGGTGTCCTGGGACCCTGCAATTGGATGCTCAGGAGCAAACAGCAGCTTTAGCTCAGGATCTTTGGGGGTGCCTGGAAAACAAGGCCCAGGACAGGACAGTGGTGGAGGCCTCGAGGTTTCCAGGGGGATTGAGTGTTTTGCTGTAGGTGTTTGGTTTGGACCCACCTGAAGTGTGGTCATGGTGACTGAGTGGAGCCTTTCACAGGATGCACAGGGGGCTGGAATTGGGTTTTCCTGTAAGGTGTTTTATCTCCAAACCTGCTGCAGTGAGGGCCCTGTGAGGCCTGTGCTGTGTCACACGCTGATGTTTGTTTCTCCCTCACAGCCAGGACCTGTGTGCTGTTCACAGTCAATAATTCGGTGCATTAGGAATATTATTAAATGCACTGGGGGAAAATGGGATTGGTAGTGGCTGCTGGGGGCTCTGCTCAGGTGGGCTCATGCTCCTGATCCCATCTGTCTGTAGTCTGTTGGGGAAATGGAAGGCTGTGTGTTCCAGGGGGGTGAAAGGCTGGAAATCCAGGGCTGTGCAAGCTTCCCTGGCTTCCCTCTGGCTGAGCAGCCCCCCCAAACTGCCCCTGCTCACACCCCTCTGCCACAGGTACCCCCTCATGCAGCCCCCCTGGGTAGGGGGCACCCGTCCCAGCCCCTGGAGAACCCGGTGGGAGCGACACTCCCGTGAGCATTGGAGTTAATGTGGCTTTGAGAGTTCCCTGGGACATTCAGAGCACAGAACTGTTACCTGAGACCTGCTGGCAGCTCCCAGGGAGCTTCTCCTTGTGCAGCCCCACAGCCTGGCTGAGCTCTGGGCGGGTGACAGGTGACTCCCCTCGGGGGGGTGACAGGTACCTGTGCTCTGTGAGGTGACAGGTGACTCCCCCCTGAGGAGGTGACAGTGCCTGCTGTCTGAGGAGGTGCCAGCAGCCCACAGCGTGTCTGAGCCCCCCACAGGGGTGTTCCCTCGTGCCTCTCCCCCAGCCAGCACAAGGTTTCTCTCCCGCCGCCTCCCGTGGCTTTGCTGACCTTGGGGTTTTTCCATCTGCTTGCGTTTCCACTTCTGGAAAAGGTTTAGTTTCTCCCCCTCGCAAGTTTTGTTAAATTCTCTTCTGGATTTTTTCAGCTTTTAGTTCTCTGTCTGCTCTGGGAAATGTGTCACGAGCCCAGGGTTAAGATTTTGGTTGCAGGATAATTTGAGTTAATATTAAAATTGAATGCTTTAAACCTCTGAGCGCTTGCATTTTTGTTGGCTTAATTGACTCTGGTTAAATATAATTTAGATGTAATTACAATAAGAAAAATATCCTCTGCCATCCTTTCAGAATGAGAATTGGCTTCAATAGCCCATTTTTTTTGGGGGGGGGAATTGCTGGAGGAAGATCTTTGATCCACGTTTGCTGAAAGAGGGGAGGCTGTGCCGAGGGCAGCTTTGTCAGCTCGTGGATCCCAGCGAGTGTTCCCAACCTTTGTCACTCTGTAAAGCTTTAACCTCGTCATGAAAGTTCCCGATAGCAGCTGGGAGGATCGTGCTGCAGCCAATCCCACAGGCCAGGGCTCTGGAGCCTCAGTTAAACAAGCAAGGGGTGATATTTTGGCCTTCTCCTCTGAAGAGCCGCTCCTGGGGCCCGGCACAGTGAACTTCCCAAAAGCTGATGTGAATTAGGGGACTTTTTACCCTCTCCAGGCCTTGGGGTTTTGCTGCTGAGAGGGTTGAGAGCGGGGCTGGGCTGTGCAGAGCTGTGTTCCACCTCACTGAGGGTTTCCAGCCCGGGGGAAGTGGCCCATGCTCTGTTCCAGGTGTGAGTCCCAGCCATTGTTCAGGGGCCACCCATCCCTTACCAGCCCCAATCTGCTTGGTTTCTGAGCCCTTCTCACCTGAGATTTCAGTTGGGGTACCACTTATGCCTTTGGTGATGTCCTAAGGTGAGGAGCATCATCTGCCATGCCCAGAGCTGCTTTTAGTCCTGATCACCTCCAGGAGTGCAGTAACTGCCCCCAAAAGTGTTTCAGTTTCACTTTATCACAGCTATTCCTTCAAATTACTTTCAGGCTGAGCTCAGTGCTTCCCTCAGAGATGGAGGTAGCGAGGCAGAAGTTTATTTTTAGGGAAGAATGAATCATCTCCTGGTTGTGTCTTGTCTCATTTTGCTTTGATGAGAAGTAAAGTCAGAGAACTGGGACCTGCTGGGTCTGGGTCCCTGGGTCCACGTGGATGGGTGATGCTGTGTCCCAGCAGCTGAGCAGGGTGGAGTGTGGAGGTGCTGAGCTGCAGGGACAGAGCCTGGGGGTGCAGCAGGTTCCTGGGACTTCCCTCTCAGGTTGTTTTGTTGGGGAACTGCTCTGAGGGGAAGGCTTGCTGTGTGAATTCGTTGTGTGTTGAGGGGTTTGAGTCTCAGAGCTTTGCAGGAGTCGTGGCCCTTGTTTTGCTTCTCTCGTGGTTGTCTTGAACCTCTCCTGTGCTTGGAGGCTTCTCCTTACCGGCCTGGGGCTTGTCCTTGCAGCAAACAGCTTTGGCACGAGGTGTGACCTTGGCAGAGGAATTATCTCTAAAGCTTTTGCAACTGCTTCCTTATCCTTGTGCTTTGTGCTTGAGGCCTGGTAGCGAGCCACTCCTTAACTTCAGAACCCAGGCTCTGAAATATCCAAGTTCCTTATCTGGGGGTTTGTGGATGTGAGCTGGATTAATGGCTTTCACCTTTTAAAGTCCAGCAGGGGTGAAGTGGAGCATCGTGCAGTGGCTGGAGGAGCTGTATTAGCGGCTTGTGGGGTGTTTGAATGTCCTGGGGGGAGAATTTCTGATAAAGGGTGGCTTTATTGTCTGCATGGAAGGAGCCAAAGCCACTGCCACGTTCCTCCTGTGTGCTGGATTGTCGGGCTCCTCACCCAAATACCCGTGAGCAGCTCTGGGAAAGGGACCTTGGAGGGCTCCATCTTGTGCTGTGGGAGGGAGCATTTCTCTGTGTCAGCTTCCAGGCTGGAATCCAGCAGTTCCTCTTGTCTGTCCCATTTCCAACCCTCTCCCTCTGATGGTGGTCCCTGCTGCCCCATCCCAAGGCGAGGAGATCCCTTTCTCCCCCCCAGCAGGCTGGGATGGTGTGTAAGTTTGTCTTGGCGCTTCCAAATCTCCTTGGCTACAAGTTCAGGGAAATGATTTGTGTCTGTTGACGTGTGCAAGGTGTAGGGAATTCCTGGGGGAACGGGGCAGGGCCCAGGTAAGTTCAGGAGGAATCCCTGGCACAGCTCAGGTGGTGCTTGGTTAGTAGAGATGTCACTAATTCCTTGAGTTATACAGTTTCTGCTCCTTGACATATGTTTTTTTACCTTCCTTTCTAGGAAGGGGTCTGGAGGAGGGAAAATTTCCCTTTCTGGTGAAAGGGGACTGGAGCATTATGACAGTCAAGTCTTTAAAAGCTTATGAGTTCCCAGAGTCCTGGCCGGTAGCCGCTGCCTCCGCTGATGTTGTCGGATGTCAATAGAGAGAGGTTGAAGGCAACACTTCTAATGGAGGTAGAAACGAAATACTTGGAAAACACCAAGGATTTTCCTGTTTTGATTAATGAAAAAAAAAAAATCACATAGGTGCTTTAATAGCTGGGTAGACAAACTTGAGATGTGGAACTCTAGAGACAATCACTAAATTCTCCTGTATTTGTCTGGCTTGGCTTCTGGGTGGGGCTCGCCCGGCTTGTTTTCACCCACACAGGTGTTCTGGTCTCTCCAGCAGGTGACATCGAAGGGGGCTGGCTTGAACCCCAACGCCAAAGTGTGGCAAGAAGTCCCCCAGGGGAGTGGTGAGGCCGTGCCCCCCTCAAATGGCACCGAGCACACGTGGCAGGAGACGGCGGCGGCCCCGGGCACTCCGGCCGAGGGTGAGATGTTGGGACACGTCCCGTGCTGGGGGACACTCGGGGCGTGTTCGGCCTCCCTGGCTCTTGTCCTGGAGGTTCTCAGTGCTGAGGGAGCAAAAAGTGTGCAGTAAATGTGAGGAGGCAGCAGGGGGTTTGCAGAGGTGATGGGTCTCACCGGTGGGCTTTGGTTTGGGGGGTCAAGGAGGTGTCAGAGCTCCACTGGGACGGGACACTTGGGCAGGGATCAGGATCCAGGGGGCCCAGTGATGACCCTGTAACGCGCTAAGAGGGAGCAAGGGTGCCAGATGTGTGGAAATGTCGCTGCACTTTGGCACCCGGGGACCCTGTGAACGGGAAAATGAGGTCTGAGGGCCACCTGCAGTCCTGGGGAGCACCGAGGGGCTGCTGAGAGCTGCTTGTGCTGCAGTTCAGAGTGCCCAGTGTCCACAGTTTGCTGCCCTCCCTTCAGCCTCTTCCATCTCAGCTGCTTCCATCCTGACCACACGGGCAGTGTCACCCAGAGCTGAGCGCTCTGGTTTGGCTCAGACTCGACCCCAGGGGTAGCTGAGGTGACTCAAAAGCGCTGCAGAGGAGGCAGAAGATTCCCTGCAAAACAGTTCAGTCAAAGTTAGGGATAAAGAAGGGAGGATTCAGCTGGTGTGGCCCTGTCAAAGGTTTCTGGTAAGTCAGCAGAAGCGAGGAGCGTTTGTGCTTTGCCCGACAGAAGCTCGTTTGTCTCTTCATAACAAAGTGAAGCAATCCTGGCAGTGTAAGCGATTTTTCGCCCCTTGTTTTCAGGAACCTCGCTTAAATATTTTAAATTTCACGTAGAAAGACTGGTTTTTAGATCCTCTCCCACTCTGGGGATCAGTGTCAGGATCCTTTATTTACTTTTATTTACTTATCCCCGAGGGCCTGGTGCAAACCAGAAGACCCTTCTGAAATTGGAGAACTAGAAAGTCCTCTCCAATACAAAGTCCAAGAAATACAGACTGACTCGAGACGCTCTCAGTTGCAGCAGGTTTTGGGTATTTGTTTTAGTGTTGGTAGCCAAGGTTTTTCCCGTGGGGAGTGTCCTGGAGCTCACGGGGGTTTCCCTGCTGCTGCTGTGTCCCTCTGGCAGGTAACCTAGAGCTCTCAGAGGACAGCTGCAAGCAGTATGAAGTGATGTATTCCCCGTCCTGCGAAGCCACAAGGAACGGCACAGGAGCCGATGAAGCCTCTGCGAACGGGATTGTCCTGGCCACCGAAGACCTGGGATACCAAATCTATGAAGTGTCTGGTGAGTGCTCGGGTTCAGCCGCTGCTGTCGGTGTCTGTAACCCCCTGGAGCTCGCTGCAGCTGTGATGTGACCGAGGAGGAATCCTGGCATGGCCATGGGTGCCCAGGAGGCTCCAGCACTCGGCCGAGCAGGCGCACACGGTGGGGTCGGAGCCGTGTTGAGAGCTCGTAGTTCTTGGAGCACCTCAGATGGGCTTTTCCTCCTGGTCCTACCCAGAGGGACTCATCCTTTTCCTGGGCAATGAGACGTGTCCTTGGTTTTGTGGATGTGGAACTGGGATCTGACAGGGGGTGTGGTCCCTTCCAGGTGACGGCCCCTCCGCCGTGTCCACAGAGGACATCAGGGAATGCTTGAGGAAACAACTTGAATTCTGCTTCTCCCGGTAGGTGCAGCGTGGTATAAACCCTTTACTAAAATGATCTGCTGGGATCTGTTCCAGGAGACAGAGTTTGAGGGTGTTTTGGCTGTGAGTGGAGTTGGGGAGTATTTAAATCTGTAGTGATCCTGGTTTTTTGAGTCTTCTGGGAGTCAAGTTCAGGATTTTTTATGAAATCACCACTTTATGTCTTTTTAGCGAGAATCTTTCCAAGGATCTCTACTTGATGTCTCAGATGGACAGCGATCAGTTTGTTCCAATATGGACAATTGCCAACATGGAAGGGATTAAGAAGCTGACAACGGATATGGACCTTATTCTTGAAGTTTTGAGATGTGAGTCTGGGGGTTTGGGGGTCTGCATCAGCAGGACAAAGAATCCTGTTGGGCTTCAGGGAGGTGGTTCAGTCTCTGAGCTGGTTGTGGCTTCTTGTGCTGGAACAGGGTGACAGGACCCTCACTCTGCAGACGTGGCTGAGTAAGAGGCTGTTCCAGACTCCTGAATTCCCCTTCTTTGTTCCAAGTTCCATAACAGAGCCTGTTCCTGCCGAGATGTGCGCGGTGTCCCACTTTTTCCCTTTGAATTTTCAGCTTCTCCTATGGTACAAGTGGATGAGAGAGGGGAGAAAGTCAGACCAAACCACAAGCGGTGCATTATCATCCTCCGTGAGATCCCTGAGACAACACCCATAGAGGTAAACACGGGGAGAGGAGGGAAATAAAGCTTGGTGTTTTTGAGAGGTATCTTCAACAGGGCTTCAAACAGCACCAGGAAAAGGTCAGCTGGTGTTTCATGTGATTAAACAGGGATATTTTTCTTGTGAACCACATCAGTCATTTTTTTCCGCCCGGGTGCGTTGTCAAAACAGCCAAAACAAAAATTTACTGCCATTGTGCCTTCCCAATATTTACTACTATATTTAAACCTTCTTAAGTAAACTCCTTTTTTTTTTCTTTTCCACCAAAGCTGAGCTAGCCTGGCTTTTCTGGAAGGAAGTTTGAACTGGTTTCTTTTCAGATCCAAAAATAAATCAGTCCAGGGCACAGCTTGGAATTCAGGCTGAATTTTTGTCACAGCAGTAACTTTACTTGAAGTCAGACGGTTGTTTTGGCAGCAAGAAATGTTACTAAACATTTCTCATTCATTGTGCCCCAGCGTGAGCTGAGCTCATTATGTTCAGAGGAGGGAGGATAATAAAATTCCTCCTGATACTTGGCGAACAGAATGATTTAGCTCTTTGTTTTTTTAAAGTTGTAACACAGGGTGTTTGTCTACCAGCATTTTTAATGAGTTCTTTTAATGCAAACACCGAACAGCTGCTTGTCCCCCTCTTTCCAATCTGATTATTGCAAAGATATTAAAAAAAACCCTCTCAGGTTGCCTTGACTGGAATGGAATCATTCTTGTCTCTGTGACTCTCCTGATTTTAAGCAGCACTGTTTCCTATGGAAGTATCACCAGTTCTACACAGGTCTTGATTTTCTTACCGTGTGATCCTGCTGTGATTTACCTGGGGACCCTGGGAGGCCTGGGGTGGGGTTTGTGGGTTGAGATGAGGGGGTGCCTGGGAAGCCTCTCAGAGGAATAAAAGAACATCCCCGGTCACGGGAGGGAGGAGCTGGAGAGCGAACTCAGCATCTCCTCAGTGCCCTGAACTGCCCTGGGTTTGTCTCCCCAGGAGGTGAAGGCCCTGTTTAAGAACGAGAACTGCCCCAAGGTGATCAGCTGTGAGTTTGCTCACAACAACAACTGGTACGTCACATTCCAGTCCGACACAGACGCGCAGCAGGTAAGGCCTCCTCCAACCCCAACATCCCAGTGCTCAATCCTTCCCCTGCTCGAGGGGAGTGCACATGTGCTTCCTGTAGCTGAGAGAAATATTTATGTACTGATTCCCCCTTCTGTTGTTCTAAGAGATTGCTGGCAAATTCTGATCAATAAGGCTGAAGTTGAGAGGTTATTCCCTTGTCTTGCCTCAGCACTCAGTGACCACAGCTGGCACTGGAACCCTGAATTTTAAGTGTTAATGAATTTATCTGGGCTAACAGGGAAGCACATTGCTGCACATTCGTGTTAAATCATGGAATACCCTTTGGGAAGTAAAATTTTATCAAGATATTCTAATGTTGATCTTTTTTTTTTTTTCTTTTTTTGTATCTGCAGGCGTTTAAATACCTAAGGGAAGAAGTGAAAACCTTTCAGGGCAAGCCAGTAATGGTGAGGCTGCTTTATTTAGCTGGGGTTTCTGTTGGAATTGTGCTGTTTCTGTTTGGATGCTGGGGATCATTTTTGAGGGGGTGGGATCAGGGAATTAGCAGTGGGCTGGCCCTTAACTCTTGCTCTGAAGGCTGGAAACATGAATGAGGTCATGGGTAGCTCTGACAAATCACAGTTCAGTGGCTGCTGGTTACTCACAGCGCTGCTCCCAGAGGGGCTGAAACACATTCCTGTGCCGTCTTCCCTTCTCCACTTTGCCCAGAATCTGGGTCTGCAGAGCTCAGGAGAGGGATTCCTGCCCCTGTGAGCCTTGAGCTGGCTGCAGCACAAGAGCAGGCTGGAGCAGAGCCGCCTGTGCTGTGAGAGGAGCTGCCACCACTGGAGTCTGGACAGCCCTTGCTGCACTTTTATCCTCAGCTTGACAGATTTTATGGTTCAGGCACCGTGTGTCCTTCCCCCTGTCGCTGTGTGAGGGTGTGATCCGGGCTGACTTCTACCAGTTTTCAGTCAGGAGCAGCAACCAGCCTTCCCATCCCTGCTGTTTCAACTCAGTGGGCAGGAAAGGTTCCGTGTTGTGCCTCTCTGGGCTGAGGAGGGCCGTGCTGTGCTGTCTTGCAGGCCAGGATAAAAGCCATCAACACGTTCTTCGCTAAGAACGGTTACCGGGTGGTGGACTCCAGCGTGTACCCCCAGCCCGTGCAGACCCAGGCCCAGTTTGCCTCCCCCCTGTTCATGCAGCCTGTATATAGCCCTCAGCAGTACTCCATCTACAGCATCGTGCCTCAGACCTGGTCTCCAAATCCTGCACCTTACTTTGAGACACCACTGGTGAGTCGAGCAGGGGAGCAGCCCAGGGATGGGTTGGTTCATCATCAGGAGGCTGAGGGGGTTTGTTCCAGCTGTAGAGTGCCCTGGTTTCCTGGTCAGACCTCTCTCTTTTATGGCATTTGTGTTGTGGACCTGATAAAGCAAGACAGGCTCTCAGTCTCGCCGCTGTCTGCCATTTATTTCTGGGGGCATCCGGTGTGAAATTCTGTTTTCCAGCACCTGGTGCTGCTGGAAGGGTCTGTAGCTTTTCCAGGAGCGGGGGAACTCTGCTGAAGCAGGTTCAGGCTGTTAACCAGGGGGGTTTGGTTTGTCTGGAGCAGCGAGTTCACACCACAGGAGATGCTGCTGCAGCCCAGTGTGAAATCACAACCTGCTGATGCTCCTCGTAAATCTGCAAACGTTTTCCTTTGCAGCTCAGCCACTGAGAGTGTTCTGTCTCTTGCAGGCCCCCTTTCCCAATGGTGGATTTGTGAATGGCTTTAATACACCAGGATCATATAAAACAAATGCTGCTTCCCTGAGTATAGGTCGCCCGTTCCATAGGAATCGGTAAGACAGCTCTTGGAAAAACTTACACTGCTGACATCCTCAGGTGTTCCTTGTGTGTCACATGCAGGGCCTGCTGGTGGGACCAGGCTGTTTATTTCACTTATCAAACGTGTGTGATGCTTTTTCAACTTGATTTGAAAAAAAATCATGGTGGCAACTTAAAATCCTAAAAAAAAAAAATAAAAAAAAATTAAAATAATGGACACACGTGCTGGAGAGAGCAAAGGTAACTCCTTTAAAAGCCTCAGAGGAATTTCTGCAGACAAATAAATAACTTCCTCTTAAGTTAATACTTGTAATTATGTTTGTTCTACGCAGATTATGAACTCCAGCAGCACTAACATAAGCCTTTCCTGCTGGGATCAGCCTTGCAGAGCCCTTGGGTTCCTGCAGTGGGAGTCGCATGCCCTGAGCTCTGCTGTCTGTTCCTGTAATTTATTTGCTTTATCCCCATCTTTCCTGAGAGCTGTGAGGACTCAGCTCGGATATAAACACCGGGGAGGAGGAAACACTTTGTCTTGCTGGAGCGCTCTGGGAATACAATGGAGCAGTAACCTGGGGGTGGGAATTGTTTGTGTGCAGCTCGGAGAGGGGCCACGGGAATTGCTTTTCATGGTGTTGGAGGAATCAGTTGACAACTGCCGGGGCTGTGAGTGGGTCTGTGGTGCAGCCCAGGTCGGGGGCTCTTGGCAGAAGGGGAACTTTAGGATTTGCCCTGCGGTGACCCAGCAGAGTCTGGACTGTGGGACTGGGAGGGCGACTCCTCTTGCTCCAGTTGCAGCTGCTCAGCTCCCATCTTTACAAAGGTGGTTTGGCTCTTTTGTTGTTTTTTTTTGCCTTAAGTTGTGCCCAAACTAAAGTCTGTAAAACTCAATAGCAGCTTCAGGGTGGGACTGTGCAGGTTCTGGCCCAGTGATGATCAAGTATCGCGCTAAGAGAGAACAGGTCACGGTCGGGCTCTGGGCAGCCTTGCTCCTGCTCTTCCTTCCTCTGCTCTTCCTTCCTCCTGCTCTCTCCACATCATCTCTCCTTCTCTCTGCTTTTTTTTTTTTTTCCTTTCCCCTCCTTTATCTTTCCTCATCTTTCCTGCTTTGCTCTTCTGCCCAGACAAGACTGCGGCCTTCTCGATGACGGGTAAGATTATGAGATCTGAGGGCTGGACAAGCACTTGGGGATCTGCCATTTTGAGAGCAACTTGAGCAAAATGGAAGGATTCAGTTAACTTCCCTCCTCCTCTTCTTCGTGGGCTCTGCTGATGGAAAACTTGAACTTTATTGTGGGCCTTAAAACTGGTTCTTGGTGCTTCTCAAAACTGTGAAATGTGAATTAATCTCTGGTCTGCAGAAGAGCTCGTTCAGAGGGGTTCATTCAGCTACTGCTTTTGGGTTTCTGTGCTGGCCCATTAAGCCTGATTTGTCTCGTCCTGCAGGCAGTTAATAGTTAAGTGTTGGGTTTTTCTCCATAGCTAAACATTTGTTTAAGCCACTTGTATTTATTTTGCCCTGATTTGTTGCAACATCACGGTGGGAAAGGGAGATGGAGGAGTCAGGTTTGGACTGGCAATAGGAGAGTTTCTTCTGATTGCACAGAATGTTATAATGAGACTGTTTAAAAACAATAAGTGTGCAAAATCCTCCTGCTGTCCTTAAATTAGGAGGTGTGCAGAGTTGACCAGAGGGGAGAGAGACAGTTTGAGTTCTTTATCTCTATTTCTGCAGCTGGTTGGTGCTGCTGGAAAAGGCAGGAGTGGAAAACAGTCCAAGGCACCCAAATGCTGCCTCAGAAAACTGTTCCATGTCGTGCTGGGGCAGAGTTTTTCTGCAGAATTGTGCATTTAGGACCCTGTGCCTGAACTTGGCAGCAGCACTGAGCGTGCAAAGCTGTGTCTGTGCTCAAGGGAACTGCAGCTTTAATGCTGAACAATCAATAACAGGGCGAAATGTCTGGGGATTGGGAACTGCAGAGTCAGTGCTGGGGGTTTGGGAATGGGAACAGCAGGGCTGGGCCTGGCTCTGCCTGGAGGGGGGCTCAGCTGCCCTGGCCTGATCTCCCGTGTTCAGTCACCATCTACTCCTGCCCTCATCTCTCAGTTCAGTTTGTTCACCTGTGGCCAGATCTGTTCCTTGGGCTCAGCTCATTTCTCCAGGCCCCTTTCCAGTGCCCTGTGCCTGTGCTGCAGGCCCAGACAAAGCAAAAATCCCTCTTTGGGTTTGGATTCGTTGTTTTGGGTTTTTTTTCCCCCCTTTGGTGTCTGTTGGGCAACGATCTCAATATTTCCTGTAAATGGCAACATTTGGAGAGGAGGCTGCAGGAAAACCATAGCGGGAGGAACAGGTGGAGGTGGGGAAAGCAAATATCTTTATTCCTCATGAATGTACATAGGGAAGAACTTCTGAGCTGTGGTACTTCCTGACCCTCTTGGCCCCGAGGTGAGCTCAGCTGGTCAGAGCAGGGTGCTGATAACACCAAGGCTGAGCCATCGACCCCTGCGTGAGCCCCTTCCAGCTCAGAATGTGGCGTGGGCCGTGGGTGGGGGTCTCTGTGTGGGGGTTCTGCAGCCTGGGGGTCCCTTAGGATGTCGTGTCTCCGCAGGGTGAAGCCCCATTTCCGCTCCTCCAGCGGCTCGGAGCACGCGGAGGGGCCGCCCGCCCTCGGGGCCGTGCCCGGGGGGGACCCGGGCAGAGCCAGCTCCAGGAATTTCGTGATGGAGAGACACAGCAGCCCCTTAGCTGGGCACCAAGACCAAGGCTACTCCCAGAAGGATTCTCCCACGGCACAGCTGGAGCAGAACGGGGATTACGGCGTCGGCAGGGGCAGGTAACGAGCTGGGGCCTGTCTGCTGTCGTCAACCACGGGCACAAAACGGCATTTCTGGAAAGGCCAACCTCGAGAAAACTGGCACTGAACTAAACCAGGAGGGATAAAAGCTGACCTGGGAGCAGGAATAGCTTCCTGCTTGAGTCTCCACCTGCTATTTACTCTGGCAGTAAGATAGTGAGGGCTCTTAATTTTAAAATCACGGGTTTGTCCCCAGAATTAAACCAGTTGCTGAGGTGAAGTTGGCAGCTGCGTTGCTGTAAATAATAAGCAAATCCTCAGCTGGGAATTTGGTGCTCTGCAATATTTTAAGATTAGGTGGTTTTATCTTTGCTCTGTTAATTCAGGGTTAAGACACTGAAAAGACACTGGACACTAAAAGAAGTGTCCAGGGCAGATTGGTGAGAAGTCAGACTAATAAATTGGTTACTGTAGAATTACAGCTGTCCCTGTGCTTGGTGACACGATGCTCATCCCTGGGGCTGAGAGGGAGAAGTAGTTCCTGTATTTGCTCTGTTCCAAGAGCGTCAGAGCCTTGACCCCTCCTGAGATTGGAATCCCAGGGCTGTGTCTGGGGGTTCAGTGAATCCCCTACCCAAGTTCCCTCGTGCAGAGCAGGGTCAAGGCACTGACTGAGGGTTTCTTGCCTTCCAAGGAGGAACGTGTTCCGAGGCAGGAGGAGACGGGACGACGACCGGCTTTCAGTAAGTTCCCCTTCCCTTATTGCAGGGACTTGCTCAAAGGGGGCAGTGGGTTGGCTCTGCAGTTACTGAAGGAGTGGCAGAGCCCTTAAACCCTGGGATTAAATTGGGGGTTAACAGTTTTTCTAGGAGTTTCCCTGGCCACGTGCTCGGGGCTTTTCCTGCTCGGTGTCACGGCTCTGCTAACGGGTGTTTTCCCTCTCTAGAGACCTCAGCCTTCAGCAGAAACAAAGACTCAGACACCAAAGTTTGACTTGCTTGCATCAAATTTCCCACCTTTGCCTGGCAGCACAGTGAAAATCCCAGGGGAGCCTGTGCTGGAGAGCAGGATGTCCGACATCGTTAAAGGAGTCTGCAAAGAGAAGGTGCCCAGTCCCATCTCCCTCACACACACAGGAGCATCCCTGGGCTGGGGCTCCCTTTTTCCCTGCTAAAGAGTCAGTTTGTCAGAGCCACACACTGGAATGCTTTAATCCCAAGCTTCATGCTGTGTCTGATCCCAGAACAGTGCCTTTTTCCTGGCTTTTTGTGGGAATGCAGCCCAAGCTCTGGCGCTTCTGCTGTTGTAAGCTGGGTGATGTTCAGGAATACAGCAGGGAAATGAGGAGTGGTGGCTGTTGGAGTAGGAGCAGTGTGGTGGAGCGTGGGCATGGGATCTTTCCAGATGAGTCTGTTCTCTGGGCTGGTGGGACTAAGCACTGATAATTGGGATGATCCAGCCCTGTTTCTCCTTTCCTACACTGTGTGGTTTGCCCGTAGGAAGGGAGGGGTTGCTTTAGAGGGGACGCTCCCAAAGGAGTCAAATTAACACAACCAGGACTTGAGCAGCCTTTGGGAACATCCCACTTCTCAGCTGCCCTGCAGTGAGTGGCGTGCTGAGGAGCAGTTTAAGCCCATCTGCCCTGTTTGTGCTCTGTGTCCAGGAAGGCAAAGACTCGCTGCCCACGTGCCCGGCTCCGGCTCCCGAGGAACAGACGCCGAGCGCTGCCCAACCGCCCGCCAGCAGCGCCAGCTCCCCGAGCCAGAGCGAGCCTGTGCTGCTGAGGTGTGCAGAGAACCTGGCAATCCAGGGAACCACTCCATATCCTGAGCTGGGAGGGACCCCCAGGGACTGAGTCCAGCTCCTGGCCCTGCACGAGACACCCCAACAATCCCACCCTGTCCAAACGCTCCTGGAGCTCTGGCAGCCTTGGGGCTGTGCCCACTGCCCTGGGGAGCCTGTTCAGTGCCCAAACACCCTCTGGGGGAAGAACCTTTCCCTAAAATCCAACCTGAGCCTGCCCTGGCACAGCTCCAGCCCTTCCCTGGGTCCTGTCCCTGCTCACAGAGAGCAGAGCTTGGAGCTGCCCCTCAGGAGGAGCTGCAGACCCTGAGGAGTCTCCCCTCAGTCTCCTCCAGCTGAACAACCCCAGTGCCCTCAGCTGCTCCTCCAGACCCTTCCCCATCCCTGTGTCCCTCCTTTGGACCCTCTAAAGCAGCAGCTTTAGACCTTTTTTACCTCGTGGTGCCCAAACTGCCCCCAGGACTGAGGTGAGGCCGCCCCAGCTCAGAGCAGAGCGGGACAATCCCCTCCCTGCCCTGCCCAGCGATGCTGGGCCTGGTGCCCCCCAGGGCATGGGGACCCTTTGTGCTGCCAGGGCACTGCTGACTCATTTGCCTGTTTTAGCAGTGTCTCAGAGCAGTGTCCAGCACGGTGGCAATCGTGTTTGTTGTTTCTCCATCTGTGGTTGGCAGCTTCTCCAGAGGCCACCAGATGGAAATAACAAATGGTGGCAGGAATGGCTGTGCCGTTCCATTCTGATGAAATGCAGCTGTGACTCCAGAGCAAGGGAATACTCTCTGAAATGTTCATTTCTGTGCCAGTGGGTTTTAATGTGAAGTCGTTGTTGCTTTCTCAGCACGGTCCAGCCGGAGAGCAAACCAGAAGAGGTGTCTGCTCCGAAGGACGTGGCCAGCCAGGCCTCCCCGCCAGCCTCCCTGTCCCCTGTCAGTGCAGCAAAGCCACCAAGGACAAGCTCCTCCTCACCTTCTGCTCAAGCAAGTGCAGCTCCTGCCCTGTCGACTCAGGTAAGGCCCAGAGCAGGAGCAGGGGGAGCTTCCTCACAGCACACCCTCTCTCTGCTCGCCCTCCCCGGTGTCGCTGCTGCGCCTTCGGGCCCCGGGCCGGGCTGGGAGGCGCTCCTGGCGCATCAACCTCGCTCTTCCCCTCGTTCCCAAAGGAGCCCCGCAAGCTCAGCTACGCCGAGGTTTGCCAGAAGCCCCCGAAGGAGCCGCCCGCGGCCGCCGTGCAGCCCCTGCGGGAGCACCGCGCCAACATCGTCGCCCCCGCCAAGGCCGAGGAGAACGGCTCGGCCGACAGGGCTGCCGAGAAGGCCCCCCCAGAGAAGGCTGAAGGTCGAGGGAAGGATTTCTCCGGGTTCCGCGGCAGCGGAGCCCCCAGGGGGGCCGCCGGGAAAATCAGGGAACAGAGGCGCCAGTTTGGACGCAGATCTTCGCCTCAGGGAGCCCCGCGGCGCGTCGGGAAGGAGCAGTTCGTGCCACCGCGGTCACCAAAGTAACGCTGGGCCAGCCAACGATCCTCTGTTTAGTTGGAGCTGTGGACTGAGGAGCAGCAGAGACTTGGGAGGAGGAGGAAGGATTCGGGAAGGGGAATTCTGAACTGTGGAGCGTGGCTGGCGTTGGAGGAGTTGTGGAGGGGGTCCCAAAATTCATCTCTTTAAGAAGCGATCTCACAAATGCTGGAGGATTCCAATCACTATAAATATAGAGATTATAATTTTTGTATTTTTTTTTTTTTTGGTTTTTAATTTGCAGAGGGTTTCCTGCTTGAAATCGGTTTTTGGGGCTTGTGAAAGTAAGCGTTTTGACAGAGCGAAAGGATCTGACTTGACGAAATTAACCTGTCCCTCGGCGTAGGAGGAAAAGGATAAGAGAATTATTATTTTTGAAAAGAAAAAAAAAAGATAATGAGCATTTCTGTAAAATTAGAACTTTTTTTTTTTTTTTTAACCTATTTAACATTTGGCTTGTGGGCTGGTGTGTGTGCCATGGACGGCCTTGCACTGCAGACCCTCTGCAGCGGCGTGAGCGGAGCGAGGGCAGCCAGAGCTGCCGTCATCCCTTAGTCACTGATGATGGAAACTGAATGTACTACTGTAGTAAACCTTGTGTTTCCAGCTTGAAGTAGAGTCTCTTGACCTTACTAATAATTCATTCAGCAAGCTTTTTAAAGTGTAATTTTTGCAGGATACTGGACTTGTAGATGAGAGAGGGGCGTGGACAGCAAAAAGCATCTTGGGAGACGCGACGGGAGGAGGCAGAAGGAGCACGTCAGAGTTTTTAATTTGCCCTTTTTTTCCTCGCCTCCTTTTGAGGGCAACTTCTTAGGTTTGGGGTTTTGTTTGTTTGCCTTTTTTTTTTTTTTTTTTCTTCTCCCTCTCTTGTTACTTTCTCTGATTTCTTTATTACAGACTTTAGTGCATTTTTCCTGAGGCAGGCCCAGTGTAGGACGGACAGGTGGCTCCACAGCACCTTGTGTGGCTGCACAGGTAAAAAGAGCCCGGAATTCCAGCTACAGGTGGGGAATTCTGGGCGCTCACCATCATCTCTGGGTGGCTGGCAGCAAAAACCAGGGCCGGGTTTTCTTTGTCCTGCCTCTGTAACGGGCTGTTGGCCTCCAGAAATCGGGGTTCTTACACCTGGGGAACTCGTTGTTTACAGCTCATGTAGTAGAGACTGACTTGTTGTGAGTGTTCAAAGTGGAACTAAAAGTGAAGAGTTGAAACCCCCCCCCCTCGTGTTCAGAGAAGCTACTGGAAAGGTGGCACCTTGCCAGCTGTGTGCTGACTGAATTTGCAACACTATTGTGCAGTAAGTGGTTAAGTTTGAGGGTGATTAATGACCGAAATAGGAACATTCAGCGCATTAATCTGCCAAAATCAGCATGCCAGGGTTCAGAGTTCTGTATAAAAGCGTTGGGGAAAAGTAGCTTCCAGCAGTAAGAATCACATCTTTATTTTTTTTCTCCTTTTTTTTTTTTTCTTGTTTTGTTTGTTTTTTTTTTTTTTTGTTTTAGTGAATAGCAAGTGTACAAATTTAAAGTCGTAAGTTGTGAACACTGGAAAACTCAATTGTGATATATTCCATAACCATCTTAGTAATATATGCTCGTGTTGCCATAGAATGAATGTAAGTGGCAGTTAAAATAACTGTGAAATTTTTCATCTTCTGAGTTCTTAGCCAGATAACCCTCGGCGACTTGGGCCTCAGTAGGAATTCTCTATCAACTGCTTGGGAGAACACTCATATCTTATTTTTATAAATATATATATAAAGCCAGAGTTGTCATTTCTCTAACTTATTATTCAGCTTGGCAATTGCTTTGAGTTGATTCATTAACACGATATAATGTATTTATGCAGTTAACTGTTCATTTCTACGCATGGGATTGTCAATAGAACCATAGAATAGGCTGAGTTGGAAGGGACCCGTCAGGATCATCGAGTCCAACTCCAGGACCCCCCCAAAATCCCACCATGTGCCTGAGAGCGTTGCCCAAAACGCTTCTTGAAGTCAAGACAGGCTTGGAGCTGTGACCACCTCCCTGGGGAGTCCGTTCCAGTGCCCACCCACCCTCTGGGGGAAGAAGCTTTTCCTGAGATCCCACCTAAAACCTCCCCCGACTCAGCTTCCTGCCCTTCCCTCCCATCCTCTGCTATGTATACATATATATATATCTATCTATCTAAAAACCAAAACCATTGTTCACTTTGAAACTACCTGTACTGGGTTTGGGAGGTTTGTTGTTTTGTTTTTTTTTTTTAATTAATTTTAATTAATGGTCACATCTACAGTTTAGGGATTCTCCCAGACCCTTCTCCCTTTGCTTGGGTGACGCTGCGCTGGTTGGAATGACAGGGAAGCTCGAAACATTTCGTGTGTCAAAAGCTCTGAAATGCCATGAAAATGCAGAGTTGGGTTCGTTCTCATGGCTTGTGAACTGTTCCTGCAGCCCAGCTGGAACGAAGTGAACCTGTGGGATGGTCACAGGCGGTTGGGGAGATGTGCCCTGATGGCTGTTGGCTGATCCAGGCGGGAGCTGTGTGGGAAGGGGCTGCTGCAGGTGTTGATCAGAACTCCCTGATCCATCTGCTGGAGGGACCTGGGGGTGCTGAGAGGACCTGGGTGGTGAAATGGTGACTCCTGCACTGATCAGGGGTGGGGAAAACCCAACCAGCCGCGGTTCAGCCCTGGTGTGGGATGGGGAAGGGATGCTCTGTGTGTCCTGGGAGTGCAGATCGTGGCTCTCGTGCCGTGGGTGCAAGTCAGGCAGTGACTGGGCTGTTCCCAGCATATCCCAGCTTCTCTCAGCTTGGGGTGCTGGGAATCGTTTATTTCGTCCCTGGGTGCAGGGATTTCACTTTCCCTTCCAGCTGTGGTTCGGGGTTTGGTTCTTTTCATCCTTTTCCAAGCAGGGGGAAGTTCCCAAGTCGACACAGAGGCTGTGACACCGCAGTGGGGTGGGAGTTGTGCACCAGGATTCAGGCACTGGCTCTTCCCTTCTCCTCCTCGGGCTGGGCTTGGGCAGGGCCTCGAGTGCCTCCCCACCAGTTTGGCTGTTGGGACAGACTGGGCAAACTGGGACAAAGCAAAGGTTTGGAGCCAGGCCCGCTGCTGGAGCAGCTCAGGGGTTGCACTGGAGCTGGATCGTGGCGTCAGCAGAGCTCAAACTGTCCCTGTCACACTTGAGGTGACAACTTGAGGTCCCTTCTGGGCAGTCCCTGGGGGGATGTAAAGGCAAATTGCCCTGCTCTGCTGGTCTCAAATTCCAGGAGGTGCAAATCCCACCTAAGGTGCAGTTTTAGGAGCTGGGACTTTGGTTTTCAGAGGTTTGGTAGCGGCAGAAACACCTCCCGGTTGAGTTTCTTTTCCCAGAAAAGATGGGGCCCCTCTCTTGTGCTTCTGCCGGGGAGCGAAAAGAGGAGGAATTCTTTGCATGTGATAGATTAAAAGTGCAAAAAAACGTTCTATTTCTTTGGATTTCTAACGTTGAGTTAGTTTTATAGTATCTTACATTCCTGCTCTCATTTTGTTTTTCGTTTTGTTTGGTTTTTGTTTTTTTTTTTTCCTAAATTAGCCTGGCACAGTTTTATGATGGTGCAGTTCTAGCTGTAGGTTTAAAAAAAAATAAAAAATATATAAAAAAATAATAAAATAAAGTAACCCACTTATTAACCAGAAGAGAAAGATGATACTGTGGCAGATCAGTAGCAAATAAGTGACTTAATCAATGCTTTACTGTAGTTAAATAGCTATGGCCTTACTTCTTTGTCGATAGCAGCTTAATTGTCTTGAAACTGTCCGCGATTTTTACTGTCCCCAGGTGGGTTCCCCTGGGCTGAGATATCTGGTATGTACAGATGATATTTTAAATTTGTAAAATGCACCCTTGTATTACAGACGATGCAACAGAAATGCACTTCGGGGGGAAACGGCTTCTGATGAGGTTTTTTTTTTTTTTTGTAAATCCTTGATTACTACAGATATGCAATAGAGGTGTTTTTTTTTGTTGTTGTTGTTTGTTTCTAATTTTGATATTTCCTTCTCAAACGTAAGATTGTTGCCATTAATCTGAATGATTTATCGTGCTTTTCTTTGCGTGTATATATTACATATAGTCTGAGCTTCCTTTTAGGATGGTACATAATTTTGGGTTGTTGTAGTATTTTAGTTGGCTCTTCTCTTAAGTGCCTTTAGCTCAGGCACTTCAAGAGGTTCATTGAGTCTGTTTTTAATGTACAGTTGGGAGGACTTGAAATGGAGTTAAAGCGACTTATTTCTGAAAAATAAAAAATAAAAAAAATCCATCTGCAAAACTAACCTGTAACAACTTTAAAGTTTTATATTTAAGAACCAGAGGTTTATTTTTATGGAGCTTCAGTTATGGATACAGTTTCCAGGAAAAAAAAAAAAGCAACTTCAAATGTAAACAGACTGTGCATAAATGGGTTTTGTTCTAATTTTTATAGAATACAAAATATTCAGATAATATATTGAGCTCGAGTTACTACAGACATCTTGTTCCTCCCGGATGAATCCAGCTTCCCCTTGGCATTGACGATCTCTCTTCAAAGTGGTAGGAAAGGAGAAAAAAAGCGACTTTATCTGGCTTTTAGACTGTCTGTTCTGGTTTATTCCTGTTGTCAAAACTGTCCAAAACGAAAATTAGTGTAAAGTAGGTTCATGCTTTAAATGTTCAAATGATAATACATGTATTTGTATTTGTTTTTGACATTGCCAAGGTGCTATGGGAAATTTGAAATAACAGTTAGAAAAATAAAGCTGATTTAAAGGAGAAAAACAAAACAAAACAAACCAAAAAAAACCACAAAAAACCCCCTAAAACCCAAATCCCTGAGCTCTTAGTGGTGTGTGTGGATGGGGGAATGGGGGGTACCCGGGAAGGGCTGAGGTTTCACCTGCCCCGCTGCACACCCAGGGATGGGATTGGGAATGGGAATGAGGAGTGGGAGCGGGGACTGGGAATGGGAACTGGGCTTGGGAGTGGCTCTGGGACCAGGAGAGGGAAGTGGGATGGGGGACTGGGAATGGGAACTGGGAGAGGGAACTAGGCTTGGGAGCGGCTCTGGGACCAGGAGAGGGAACTGGGATGGGGGACTGGGAATGGGAACCGGGAGAGGGAACTGGGCTTGGGAGCGGCTCTGGGACCAGGAGAAGGAAGTGGGATGGGGGACTGGGAATGGGAACCGGGAGAGGGAACGGGGCTTGGGAGCGGCTCTGGGACCAGGAGAGGGAACTCGGATGGGGGACTGGGAATGGGAATCGGGAGAGGGAACTGGGATGGGGGAGCGGGACTGGGAACCGGGAGAGGGAACTGGGATGGGAGAGCGGGAATGGGGACCGGGAGCAGCTCCACGAGCAGGAACGGGAAGCGGCTCCGGGACCGGTGACCTGGAGTGGGACCAGGGACCGAGGAGCAGGAATGGGGGGGATCGGGAGCCGCTCCGGGACCGGGAGCGTCTGCGGGCCGAGGGAGCAGGGGGCCCCGGGACGATCCCATATCCCGATCCCATATCCCGATCCCATATCGCGATCCCATATCCCGATCCCATATCGCGATCCCATATCGCGATCCCGCCGCCCGGGGGTGTCGCGCGCCCAGCGCAGTGCGGGGCGGGGCCGCGCGGGGGCGCTGCGGGGGCGCGCTCTGTGAGGAGGGGGGGTGAGTGGGTCACGTGTCGGCGGCGCCGCGCTCCGCGATGGCGGCCGAGGCTGCGGCCGCTCCCGCTGCCCCCGCGCCCCGCGGCCGCTGAGCCCGCAGCGCGCCGAGCCCGCCCTGCCCTTTCCCTGCCCCTTCCCTTCCCTGCCCCTTCCCGGCCCGGCCCTGCCCCGCCGCCATGGCGGAGCCCGCGCCCGCGGGCGTCTCCTCGCTGCCCCGCGAGGTCCGCGAGCAGCTGGCCGAGCTGGAGCTGGAGCTGTCGGAAGGTGAGCGAGGGGAGTCATCCTGGGCTCGGGGGGAGCGGGTGGGGACGGCGAGGAGGACGGGAATGGCCGGGGAGGTGGCGGGGAAGCGGGACGAGGCTCCGGGCTCGGGCCGCGGGGAGGGAGGAAGCGCCTGGGGCTGCGGGGTTGGGGTCGTGTCTGAGGAGCCCCCGACTGAACCTCCCCGGGGACCCCGCGCTGGGAGCATCGTCTGTGGGGGGGGATCCCCCTCCAGACCCCAGGGGACCCCCTGACGGACCCCCCGACTGACCCCCAGGGGACCCCCCGAGTGAATCCCCCGACCCCGGGCGGACCTTCCTGACCCCGGGGGGACCCCCCAGCAGACCCCAATCTGGGAGCCTTTGCTGCTCCGGGCCGGGTGACCCGACCCTCCCTCCCCATCCATCCCGGGAGGGTTTTTTCCTCCCCGTGGCCTCTTCCCCCTCGTTCCCGAGCGGAGGATGCGGGGCGGGAGGGGGACACCCCGGGACAGCCCGTTCTGGGGCGGGGGAGCCGCAGGAACTTCGGGCACAAAAAGAAGACAAACCCCGTGTTCTTCCCACTTTCTGAATAAGTTCTTTTTTTTTTTTTTTTTGCCATAATCTCTTCGGAGCATGCGCTTTTTTTTTTTTTTTTTTTTTTTTTTTTTTTTTTTTTTTGGTGTTGTTTCGGGTTTGGTTTTTTGTTCTTTTTTTTTTTTGCCATGGGTTCGTCTTTGTTTCCCAGCGTTTCAAATGCTGCTCTCGGTGCAGCTTTGTTGTGAGCCTCCCTTGCGGGATGGAGCTGAGGGTGGGGGGGGAAGGTTGCAGAGCAGGTAGCTCAGATTTGCATATCTTTAATTTTCCTCCCTCTGTCAGGGCACGGAGCTCGATGCCAAAATCAGTGGCTTCTCAGGAGGGTCCATTCCCTGGCTGGGATAATCATAAAATCAGAATATCCTGAGCTGGAAGGGACCATCCGTGTCTCTGTTAGCATTAAAAATTAAGAAAAATGAAGTTGCAGGAACGTCCTGCTTTGCTCTGCTTATCCCAGAGCATAAAAGGGCATAAAAGACACTTATTCACCCTTTGGTGATGAGGAATTCACTCCCTGAGCTGGGGGCTGCCCACGCTGGCACTCGAGGTTCTGCCAGCTGAAAAGGCCATGGCACTGCTTTCCTGGCAGGGCTTGGCTGGAGTTAAACCCCTGGTGCTGGGCTGGTTGGGGTTTTGGTGAGGTGTTTTTCAGATTTACCTGCAGCAAACACTGAACTAGAGCGATGAAGTGTCTGGTGTTGGGTCTGGGGGACCCCGTGATATCAAAGCACTGAGGGACTGTCTCCCCTACTGCTCAAAATGCAGAATTAAGTAGAGGGTTTATGCTTTTTAGAGAATTCTCTGAGCGTTTTAAGCGTTGTCTGAAGTTTGTTTCTCGTGGCACTGAGCGCCCTGGGATGGATTGTGCTGCAAACTTGGAAATAAATGAGCTGCTGTTGCTGGACTGGCTGCTGTGACATCCCACTAATCTTTAATGAGCTCCTCAAACGCCTTCAACTTCGGTGCCACAGAGTGAAGTTTTGTGGGTTATGTAAGTAATTCTCCGAATATTAAATCCACTGCCCCCTTTTGTGGGTTTAATACTCGGATTTCTTAACGTGCGTGCCGAGGATTTGTTTGTGCAAATCACTTTTTCTGACAAAAAATAAAACAAACCCCACACCCCCCCGTGTGAGTACAAAGAATTTTGGGTGGCCGTGTCCCCAAGCTCTTGGGAACGTATTTCAGGGGCTGTTGTTGCTGAGGTGACTGAGATCTGACCTGGGAAAGGGGAGTAAGGTGATGTCACGCTGGAGTTCTTGAAAAATACGCCCCAGTTTGAGGCTTAAGCTGAGGGATTTCCAGGGCTGTGTGTGCATTGTTCAGCTGAGTATAACCAAGGGCTGTTGACAGTAAACAATATTGAATAGAAGCATTTTATTAAAAATGGCAGCAGGGCTCCCTGTGTAACTGCTCAGTTGTTGCTCAGATAAGAACACTCGATCCCTTTTTTTCCCACCCCCTTGTTGCAGCTTTATTTGTCCCCGGGCCTCACTGTTGACAGTGTAAATGTTTCTGTCGGGTTTTTTTGGGTAGGAACACGCTGTTTTGGGGAGAGGAGAGGACCTGCAGCTGCAGGGAGCAGCCCGGGGTCCCTGCCAGCAGGGGCTGGAGGTGGCTGTGTCCCTGATGGATGATGTGACAGCAGGGAGTACCTGGCTCCAGGTGCAGGGAGTGCTGCCTGGGAACACAGGCTGCTGCATGCTGAGCCTTGCAGAGGGTTTCAATGCAGGGCTGTGTTCCCATTAACCACCCCAGAGCCGAGAATTGATGACAAAACAGGGGGAAATACAGAATTAAAATGTTATCAGGCGTCCTGCTCGCCGAGGTGCCGCGTCAGCGAGCGGGATGCAAAGTGGAGCGGGATTAGTGTGATGCATGCTGGAAATAGAAATCAGGAGTTTGCAGTGATGGGCCGTGAGGCTTCCTCAGAGGAACAGCCTGTGCAGTCAGAGCAGCAGGACTGATTGTACCTCTGGATTATTCCTCGTGGTCAGCGTGGAAGGAGCGGTCCCGTGCCGGGCTGCGTTGGAAGTGTCCGAGTGAAGCAGGGGGGACGTGCCTCAGGGAGCAGGAATTGCTCAGTAATCAGCAGAAACGGCGTCTCACTGTAAGCCTTGGGCCTCAGAGGTGGTTTAGATTCAAACTCGTTTGTTTCTTCAGTCGTCTCCTGTGGGTGTGAAGAACATTCTACCCAAATGTGAACTTGGAGAGACCCCCGTTCCCTCGCAGAGGGGTCGGCGTGGCCGCCTCTGAGTAAGAATGTTCAAGTAACAATAACTGTGTATCAGCTGAGAATTGGGTCACGGAGCTGTGGGAAACCTGGAACCTGCTCATTGCTCGTGTTTTCCTCCTTTCCTCGCTTTTGGGATATTTTTCCTTCCAGTGCTTTTCTTCATCTGTCAGGGACGCCCACAATTCCGCATCTCTAATGTTGGGAAGGGCTGTCTCTGCATTTGCATCTGCCTCTGTTTCGTGAGTGAAAGTGCCAGGGATGTGAACTTTAAAGGAGACTTTTCCTCCCTGTTTTCACGTGGCTGTGGGTGCAGGAAGCTCAGTCTCACACCTTGGAGCTGAGCTGCAGCGCTGAGAGAAGGTGACTTTGGATCCACCACACGATGCTGCTCCCTGAGGTGCTCTCAGAGTGTGCTGAGGGGTTCACAGAGCAGGGTGAAGGGCTGAATCCACCCCACATTCGGTGGAAAACGTTGATATTAAAGCTCTCCTGCGCTTTGCTTGGGGTGCTCCTCCACTTTTGGGTGAAATTTTGAGGCTTTCCTCTCACATTTACCTCCTCCCAGCCATTAATGGGGAACTCTGGAATGCCCAGATTCAAAGGCTCTAATTAAGCACCGTCGGAGGATTTGTTTCAGACAGGGCACTGTGGTGCTGCCTGGGTGGGGAGGTGTGGGAGCTCTGGCAGGGACAGCAGGACAGCAGCACAGCTGCCTGCCAGCCCCCACTGCAGGGCCCAGCCTGGCTCTGTGAAGGTTAAACCCCTCCTAAAGAACTGATTTGGCTGCTGGGGGTTGTTTCCCCCCTGGTTTCTGCCTTGCCTGATGTTTGTTTAGCAGGAAAGGGGTGGCAGTGGAGTGAAGTCCAGCTGGTGGGGTCTGGCTGTGGAGGAGGGAGGGGAACTCCATCTCATAGCAACAGGATCTGCTGTGAGCAGCTCAGGCCTCCAGTGCCACTTCAGTCCCTTCTGGGTTCTGTGACGGGGTTACCTGTGGGCAGAAGGAGCTGGTTTGTGTTTGCTGTTCTCAGTCAAACACACGTTTGCTGTCTGGCGTGT